CGTCCGAGTAAAAGTACACAAACACTGGAAATGCACGTCATATATAATATTATATACCATATGGAGTTTTATATATTAGTTGCTATACCTATACCACGTTGCCCGTAATAATAAGTGATATATATATTTCGTTCCTAATCTATTACATTTCGCTACGATCATTATACTGCGTCGACCAGTGTGCGGGGATGTTCGTTTTTCTTTCAACAATAACTATAATTACCTTTATATATATATAAATTGACTGTAATGTTATTTTTAAAAATGCAATAGAAGTAGTCAAGATACGTTTATTTATTATTAAATTATTTTCATTACTAACAATATTATCACTTCCCAAAATAAAAGTTCATTGTACTTCCACGTAAAATATATAAATTTTAAAATTTTCTGTCGACACGTATTTTAATATTAAACATAGGTGACTAAAAACTTGAGATAAATGTAACTGTGTACTGTGATACAGTGGCCCCAATGGTGAATATTTTTACAAAATAATATGGCAGTATTAATAAAGATCTGAATTATTAATTTCCACTGAATGGCAGTGCAAGATTAGACAGAAGATATGAGTATATAAGGTCCGGTATAGGCATTTATTATGTAAAGGGGTGGATGAGGTGATGAAACACGGTGTATCGTATAATCAAAAGACCGACATTTGAGATTATAAAAGTATAAAACACTTTATCGACAGACACAAAGATAATAATAATAATAATAATATGTTATAATATTGTGAGAAGAGAAAATAATGTTTATTGCGTACGCTATTCAAACTCTTGAAGTGGTTATCCTCTTTCAAAACCACAAGTCAGGTGAATTCAAGTGATTGCGCCCGGCACCAATTGGATTGCGTTCGTATATATACCTACTACATATTATAAATGTATGATTTCATTATGAATGTAGTATACAGGGTGATTTCTTAAGCATGGTCACCGTATTTTTATGCTTAAATTACACATAATATATTCAAATTTTGATTTTTAGAATTTTCAAATACACTTGAAGATCATATTTTCAACTCGATATTATATGTACCACAAGATGATCCTACGACAATACCAACTTCTGTTTTTCAAATAGAAACCAACCTTTTTGACTTCTAATTTTTCGAACAAATATTTTTTTAGTTTTATACCTTTGTGTACTGATAGGACAATCATAGTATGTCTATGGACTATGGTAATGGGTTAAGTAATGTGGATGCTCAGTTGATTTGTAGAAGTATAACAAATACTACATCTAATATTATACATAGTTTTTATTTTTGTGAAACCATGTTTAAGGATAAATATTCTAAGTATAAGCATTTTAATAACTCGGAATTTACTCATTAGAATTTTGATTTAGACGCATGGACATTTTCAAGAAAATCCCCTGCTAAATAATTGTCAATACAAAATTGAGCTCTCATTTGAAAAATAAAAGTTTATATCGCCACACAATATTCGTTAAGTAATAAAAATAATATCAGGATCTAAAATGTATTGTATGATACATTTAATGCATTATTAAATTAAAATACGGGGGTGAGCATTTTTTAAAAATTACCCTCCATTCACGTAATGTCGTAATACATGGGTACACGATACTAGCTCTTTATAATTTATATAAATATTTCGATTTCTAATGAAGACGATGACGTTGGACCAGTACATTTGTCTTTGCCAGAATAACGGGAGTGAACGCTCAACTCACGATCGCATTATCGATAAACGATTGTGCGGAAATCCTGTACTGTCTTAAGTAACGGAGTCTAACGCCTGTCCGAATTATTCGGACTACTTATCACGTAATAGCCCACCACGGACGATACCTATCTCGGACACTAGATCCTTTATATATCCGTAATTCTTTTTGATCTACAGCCGGCTAGATGTCCAAATTAGTAACCACCATTACTCAAGAGTCCTGCACCTGTCAAGCCGCGCCAGTTAGCCGTCGATTTAGTTCAGACCATTTGTGTCTGATCGTCGAAAATAAGGTTGCTCTCTATCTCTCTTCCTCTCTCTTTCTCTCTCTCTCTCTCTCTCTCTCTCTCTCTCTCTCTCTCTCTCTCTCTCTCTCTCTCTCTCTCGATTCACCCACATTAGAGTTCATATTATTATATTAGTACACGCGTTCATGATATTAATAATACTAATAATACGGTTACAACAGAGCTTTCAACTTCTGCTTCAAGATTAAAAATAAATCGAATGAGATATCATATTAATAAAGCAGTTATAGTTCGTCTGTGGGCGTGTAACGGATTTAGTATATTCGTTGGCTCTTTTGTTGTATTTAATATTAGTGCAATCTCGAATAAAATTTAATAATAATTGTATGCCATATTAATTGTCTCACGTATTTTTAAAATATTTATAAGAAACACTTCCAATCAAATAGTCAAAGTAGCATTCATGCTGCCGAATACCTAACACTTCTTAAAAAAACCCATTTATCTCTTCAGTTTAAAGAAACGAAAATAGACATACCCTTTGACACACTTAATATCCTGTCCAATTTGAAATCAAAAATATTAATTGCACCTTATTCTTTGCTTTAAAAATCAGTGGTCTTAATTCCAAATCTAACAAATATATATGAGATTTATATGAACTCTAGGACTTTGCAACATAAAGGAAAACGAGGATAAAAAAACTCTTATAGTGAAATATTTTCTTTTTGGTTACTTGTAGACACACCATAAATACACAACAAAATATAAATAAATACCGCATGGGCATATGAAACACAGAATGTCACTAGACCGCAGAAAACAAATTAAGAGAAATAAAACACTCCTTTCAACTCTGTCCCAAATACATATATTTAAATCAGAAAGAAGAGGTATTTCTTAACCAACTAAAAATTGGTGGCACTAAATTCTCACTTGGACACGCCTTATGGGAAATACGAAACCACCCTATTCCTAACATGTTATGCAAATAATTCCACCAAGAACATCATAATCGTCCATAATTGTCCAAATTTCACTGAGTCAAAAATGGATTTAACATCCCGGACGGCGTCGATACGAAGCAATTGATCCACTATCATATATCAAAAGATTCATTTCCGATCTCAAAAAAATTTTGAACTCAATATAATATTAACACAATTTAAATATTAATATTAAACTAATAACTATTGTAAATTGATGGTATTAACAATAAAAAGTAAAAAAAAAAAAAATTAAAACAATACTTTCCTACATTTGTTTGATTAATATATTGGATTTCGATTTATCTTTAATAAGGAAACACAGGCGACAAAGTAAAAAGTATAATGATAATATTTACTAAAAAAATATACATGTATAAAAAGGAATCAAAATGTATTTTATTTTTAAAATAAAAATAGTAAATGCTTATGTTTAACATTCGTAACTAATTCATATCGAAGTCGCTGCACCGAGAGATTTCTTCGATCTGTTTTAGTGTGTATTAGTGTGTACTCCTATTATATTATAAATAGTATTGTTCATCTATTTTTTTATGTATTGTAAAATATTGAATAAATAAAGAATTATTTAAAAAATATATTATATAAATATACACATACATATGTTTTTAAACGGAAATATTCCCACAACTGGTAAATTATTACTACCTACTTAGAATTGACTGCATTGAAAGTAATACTTATCGATTAAGCCTTAAACGCTGCCATGCATTATATTTAGATAAAAACTTGGTTAGTTGTAGTATTATATATTGACGCTTAAGTATTTAAATTATTTTTATATTCCTGATTTTATAATTTACCCTTTGAAAATATCATTCCAGTTAGATAATAATATTAACCAAATAAAAAAGTTACGAAATTAAAACCAAAATTATTCTTTTAAACAAAGTTTTAAAACTTTCAAAAGAAGTTTTTTTTGTAATTTTGAAATTTAGTTATTATTCGATAGCTTAAGTAAAGTTATCAATGTTAACTACGATACAATTTTAAATAGTTTAGAAGTTCTTATTTCGCAATAGTGCGCTTATTTAAACTTCAAAGAAAATACAATAATGATGGTGTGTTATTTTATTTTCAACCACTGTAGTCCATAACAAATGACTGAACATTTTATATTAATCACCATCATAATTCAAAACTATAATATATTTTATATATATCATAATTCTTAAAAATACGCAGAATGAACAAATTTAATAATTCATTGATTACGTTTACAATTTTCTAAATATAGCATAACGTATACTCTACAGATATTTTCCTAATGTAAATTAACCAACTAAAGTTTTAAAAGCTTAAAATATCTCTATACATTTTACAGTCAGTGTAAAGTTGAATGTGCAAATTTAGTTTTGTTCGTTTTACCTAAAATTAATAATTTTTCAATAATTTAAAACTATAATAAACCCTTTAAAATTATGTTTTTAAAATGTATTCATTTGTCTTATACAATTATGAAATTGAGGCAATTTGATTTACAAGCACCTACTATTATAATAGAGGTTTGATTTAAAGCCTACCATGTACCAACGGACGAATCTACGTTGACTTAAATGGCTGCTATTTTTATTTTGATTAATAAATTCCTGTTCGAGTTGGCTTCTTGTATTTGAGCACAGTTCTGAAAGTGTATTTCTTTAAATTACATATCTTTAAAAACTTTTTTATTTTTATTCAAGAAATGCGTCTTGTACTAAAAAAACCATTCAAGGCCATTCATATTTTATGTTACAAAATAGTGGGGGATTATACAATAAGACCCCAACGTAATACCTACCATTTGTGTAACATTGAATTTGATCGATTATGTACCTATGTACCTACAGTGAACAGCAACGGGTCCAGTCTTGCGTTGTAACTTTATTTCCTAAATAGGTACTTCAAAATGATTTCACTTTCAATTTTACAACAAGCTACACAATAAACTTTGATTTATATGTATGGTTAATATTATTCAATATGATATTATGTTCAATCAAAAAATGTGCCATAACATATTATTATGATGGTAATAATAATAGAAATATAACACATTCTCATTCCAGGTTTGGTGCCATGAATTTTAGCGAGCATGATTGAACACAAAATACAAGCCTCGATAACAGACAAAACAATGTTGTCTAAAACTATGTTATGCAATTCATCCGATACTAAATAGGTATTTATAGCTTATATAATAAGGCCAATTAATGTTATTTAATTAATTTTCTCCAAAAACAGACACAGTTAAGCATTTCGACATGTTTACATTATTGAAAGATTATTATAGATTATTTAGGTATATATACTGAGTTTATAATATGTACTAGCTGCCCGATCTTCCTCCGGAAGAAATTATTTTTTTATAATTTAATTTAAAAACATAAGACTATTTTTTGGCTATACAAATAATAAAACGATTATAAAATCGGTTAGTATTATCGGTGAATATATGAAAATAATTGGTAATTAGTTAATAATTATTATTATTATTATGAGGGTTCAAAACCGGTTTCCTTCGTCTCCAAAATCAAGTTAGATTCTTATATATTTAGTCGGTTGGTGCTACTGAAGTACTGAGTATCTTCCCACTCTGTTATATTCACCGCTATTTCACTCAACAAAATTATTTTTTGTACAAAATTATGTATAGATTGTAATTATTCTTTTAATAAATAAAAAAAAAAAAGATTCTTATATATATATAGATAGAAGATAGTGTTTTTAATTAATAAATCATATTTGATTGTGAAAATATAAATCATTTGTACTAATTTGATATGATTTATATTGCTAGAAACATTGGAAAGGTGGATGAATAGAAAATAGAAAATAGAAAGAAAAAAAGATTAAAAAAAAGTTATTTTTGCTCAACTAGTATACTCATTACTCACTTACTATTGTACCTATATTTTTACTTTAGATTTTAAGTTAAAAAAATATATCAACTTTTTTAATTCAATCAAATTTAATTAACTTGAAAAAAAAATGTATTATTATGTAGTCTATAGTCTAAGATTATCTTTCAACTATAGCAAATTAATAAAAGGCAAAAGGGTATATCTACTTTTGTTATCTTACTGTGAAAAACTCTATGACAAAGCTTTTCAAAATTATGTTTGATTGCATTATCTTTTAAAATTGAAACGGCTGTTCAAATAATTGGTGTGCATAATATAATCTATTATTGAATTTATTTTGGAACAAGTTGTCACATTTTAAACAATTTAATTTAACCCATTATTAATTCTATTGCATTTTTGCAAAATTAAATACTTTTAGATATTATTTTGAAATTAAAAAGTGAAAGAAAAGTTGGTGGCTGGTCAAACTATATTTTTTTATTTAAGAAAATCTGTCATCCATCAGGCATATATTATGGACATATAATATGATGGATAAGATATTTTCTAAAAGTTGGTCAATATATAAAAACTATTAAAATAATATACGTTTCAATTAAACGTTACAAAGTGTAAATGAACAAAACAAAATCCATATATTTTAATGATACCCTTTATTTTGTCTCAAAGATGAAACTTTTATTCTAAGTGTAATTTTTAAATAATTAAATATACAAAAAAAGTACCTAAGAGCAAAATCGAAGCTGTTGAATATTTTAGAAACACTCTCTCTTTGATTGACTTCCTCTCTAAGGGAAACTTTAATAAGATTTGAACGTGCACGTAATAATAAAAAAATTACCAAACAGTCACGTCGAGCTAAATGAACAAACAGTAATTCAATTATAACGATGCAACTTCCAAAAACTCTAAAAATATGTATGAGAATCATTTTTCAGAGCTAACATTTTAATAGGATTAAATATGAAACCATAAGAATATAAAGTAAACAAAGATTTTTTTAGGAAATACATTAGTAATTCATAAAAAAAAAAAAATGTGTGTGCATTTCAAATCTAGCTATTTTTTTTAAACATTTTTTAAGCACAAAAATTAAATATGAAATAGTTAACATTTCAATACTTTAGTTTAGTATATGTCTGTAGATTTATATTTTTTGGCTTGGTTTAAAATTTAGAAATGACCAAAGGAAATTACTCTGCTGTACAGAAGGTTTCAAGTGAACCTTGTTACTAGGTAATTCTCTATTATAAATGTTTTAAACTTAATCCAACAATTTTTTCATGCTTATAACCTACTTTTTTTACCCCTATAGTATAAACTAGGTACAATTTTCTACTAGAAATCTCCCTAATCACAATCGAATTCGTTCTGTTTTCTAATCCCTATGACTAAATAAATGACTAAATAACTATAAAAACATTTTTTTTTAATGTAAAAACACACAATTGTAAGATTATTAAGACAGAGTCTTACACTCATAGGTTGTCTTCTTCTTAATAAAGCATAATATATCCTCATGTAAGTCTAACAGTTTTAATTTTGTGTTGCTAACTTAAGTATTAGAGTTAGTTGACCTATTATCAAACTTAAATTAAGATCATTATCTGGGTTCCCTCGTTAGTTTTTACGATATTTTAATTTTTAAGTGAGTCGTGAGTATTTATCATTCCACTCTAAGTCTAATACAAAATATATCCATAGGTTTATCCTTATTACCATAGGCACGTTAACTATGAATTAAATATTTGAGGTACCTGATAAAGACTATAAAAATAAATTCAGAGTCCTTTCTTTCAACTTAAATATGTATTTTTTAAATTTTAAATTAAATAACAAATTAAAGATAAAAATTGTAATGTAACAATTTTTTTAAAGTAACTCCTATTAATATCATATTCATCAATAATTCTACAAAATGGTTAAAAATAATCTAGATTACCTATTTAAATTCTTCCTTACAATTATTTATTTATTTTATTTACTTCAACCCCAAATCGATAGTTAACGCTACTTTTACTTTTAAAATCACTGAATAAAACATGTCGAGTTATAATTATTTGTCGATATTTACGTTATAATTGAGTTCATAAATAAATATAAATATCCATAATATTATTTGCAATTACAAAATTATTGGTCATGAAAAAAAATTCAAGAGGTGCATAGTAAAAATATAAAAATATTATAATTTATTATAATGATATTCTAAGTGAAAATATTCTCATTTTAATTTTTAATATGTAACTAAATCAAATATAATATTATATAATGTCAATATGAAATATATCAATGTTTATACTGTTGTGTATTTAAATACATAAATATAGAGAATATATCGGATTGTAGTTTCATTATAACCAATTTTTTTTTTGTTAAAATATAGGTGCAATAAACTGCAGCATTATATTTATTGGTAATAATGCCTGTAGTAAAAATGTGTACATGGCTTATCGATTGTGTTATTAAATTCAACACAATTAACCTAAATTGACTTGTTCCGTTCAGATAAAAATTATATAATTACACTGGTATTAATACGATTGAATTAATTCAATACTGCAATGTTTCTATTTGTAAAATTTATTTTTATTATTTTACGTCTACTACTGAACTTAAGTAGCTTAAGAAGAAAATAAATCACAATAATTGTTTTAAAACCAAAATAATTATGTACTTTCCGATTCTTAAACGTTGAGACACCATCCATTAACTGTACGATGGTTGAAGAAAACTTGTTTAATATTTGTGTTAATTTTAAGAACAGAGATATAAAAGAAAAGGAGAAACCAAAAAAAAAAAAATACATTTTTCCTAAATATGTCTATTGGGAGGCTTATTTCATTTCATTTTTTTTTTTTTTTTGAAAATACATCCATTATTTTTATACCATACCCATTTAAATAAATTAAAGCCTTAGTATGAACCTACTTCATTGCAAAAAACATATAATAAATATTTAATGTCTATTTATCCTTCGATTAATAATAATTGGAGTTATAAATTTCAGCTAAAAAAAAGGGAAGGAAATTCCATTTTAATAATTAAAAATAAGGATAACACTGTTTTTCATTGGACCTTTGAAGCGGTATTACACTTAACTTTATTAGAAGTATTTTATACGCGTTTTGGACATAATTAAATGAGCGTATTGCCAAGAAGGTTATAGGGTGTAATTAAAAAATTATACTGTGAGGTTTATTTTTTTTTCATAGTCATAAGTTATTAGCTAAATAAAGTTGATACTGCAATAAGTTTAAATTGCGACGAATAAAAAAAAAAGCAGTATATGACATACCGAGTGTATCAAATAATGTATACACCATTTTGAAACTGTTATGGTTCGTGTAATAGGTATAGGTAATAATAGTTTTGGATTTTTTTTTTATACATACATTTCTGTAATATAATAATATGTAAGACATACCGTACAAAAACGTTCATAAAATAAAAATAAATACATTTTCCTAGTTCAAAAATGTTTATGAAAAGCATATTAAATGCATAATGAATATTTCCAATGAAAATGTCATGTAGGATATAAAAATAAGCAATATACGTACATGTGTGCTTTTGACAGTCTATTCATATAAAAATGTATTTTTAAACTTCTAACAAAACTATACTAAGAAAATATTCAAAGGGCAAAAGCTATGGTAAAATTGTAGTTAATTTGTGTTTGTCTATGACCGATACCAATGTACTTATATAGTTTATGACTATATATAACCTATGAACGTCGCTGAATCATGTTAGAGTTTAGAACACAACCAACGGGCCCAAAATGTACATAATATAGGATATCGTAAATGTTGTGTAATTGCAGTCACTATTTTAATGTGATAACAGTCTTCGGTTGAATATCTATGTGTTTGTCAGTGAGTCAGTGAGAAATCTAGAATCTGAGACGATCGATCGCGATTAACTGTAATATTAGAAAAAACTGAACATAACCTGGGGGCCAACGTACATTACGACTTCGGAAAGGGCATTCCGACCCTTTATTTGCTATAAGACGAGCGTAACACTCGAACGCTCTAAATACGTCAATGGCGGACATGAGTAGAGAAATAAGAGGAGGAAAAAAACCGTAACGTTCGTGATGGCAGTAAATAGAGGTGCGGTCAAAGGATGAAAGGCATCTGAGTACCGGCTTTATTGACGTATAATAATAATAATAATATAGTCATCCGATAAATCTTCACAAATTGAAATTCAAAAACGTTCGCTCGGTGTATAGCAAATAAAATAATATACGTTTCTGGGCGTAGAGACACTGTCGCAACACGCAGAACAGAGAATTGGACGGAGCCGC